TCAGTCACCACCAACAACAGTCTTTCTCTAGACTACACTCACCTGGACCATTACACTTCACAACAAACTGTCAGTCACCACCAACAACAGTCTTTTTCAAGACACTCACCTGGACAATCACACTTTACAACAAACTTCAACACCTTTGTTCAAACCATTTACCCTTAAAACCACTATTACTAACAATCCATGTATATGAACATGAACGATCAGTAAGAGAGAAGATGGGTAGAGAGTTGTCCACAGTACATACCTCTGGTGCTTTACCCAAGTGTTGTGAAAGTACTATCATGTTAATGAGTGTCTCTGCATTGTTGCTATCCTGGTAAATACAAACAAGACCTTAACATTATATATCAGTTTGCAAATAAATAATTCATATCAAATCTACCACAGTGTTACAACATGGCTTTGCATATGAGTAGAGTTTTTTATGTCACATCCTTGAGGTTTCTCCTCCAGTTTTTTTTCCTTCCTCAAAGCCTTATATTATGCTAAATTACAAATCCATTTGTGAATATGCCCTGACCTCTGACCAACCCAGAGGCTGTTTCAGGGTAAAACCAGAAAACCTAGACTGCTAGCAGTCCCTCTATTTCCCTTGGTCACTGTCCGTCTGTCTGTCCATTTCGATTGGACGGGGAAGATTGGTTATGAGTCAAAAGTCTCTGGGGGAGGGAGCTGGCTACAGAGAACCTAGAGAAGAACCCTTAAATCAAGGGAGAGCTAGAACTAACTAACTCCTAACTCTACAGTACTTTCATGTTATGCCAAGTTCAGGAATCCAACTGGAGAGGCCAGAAGTGATTCCTTATCCCTATAGGTAGAATCTGTGAAGTCTAAGGGACTGACCATTAGATTTTTGAGGGGGGGGTTGAGCAATTTATTTTGTGCAGGAATTTGTTTTTACATCTCATGGCTGTGCAGGAATTTTTTTCGGACATAATTTGGAACTCTTTAAAGCTGTGCTCAATTTTTTGGGGGTTTTTGCCCAACCCCCCTCCCCACCTTCAAAAATTTAATGGTCCGTCCCTAACTAAGGTTTTACTAACCTTATCCAAGGATTCCTGCAAGAGACTCTCAGCATCTTCATATTTTCCTTGATGCATATAAGCAACAGCCTGACCATTAAGGAGCATGACTGTTGAAGAGTACTTGTCTGCAAGTTCTTGGAAAATGTAATAGGCATCTTGGCACTTCTCACCTCCCTGAAATGTATGAAATACATCAAAGTTAAACTTTTCTAAATCAAAATGGTGTCATGAACAACCTGTACCAATATTGGTTGGTAAGTGGTTGGTAAAGTGTCAGTAAAGTAGTGGTGGGTAAGGTCTTAAGTGGTTAGTATGTGGTTGGAAAGGTGTTTTCAAGTGGTTGGTAGGTAAGGTGTTGGTAAAGTGTTCTTATGGTACAAGTGGTTGGTAAGGTGTGGGTAAGGTGTTTGTACGGTTCAAGTGGTTTGTAAGTGGTTGATAATGTGTTGAAAGGTGTTGGTAAGGTGTTTGTTCAGTTCAAGTGGTTCGTAAGTGGTTGGTAATGTGTCGGTAAGGTGTCGGTAAGGTGTTTGTACGGTTCAAGTGGTTTGTAAGTGGTTGGTAATGTGTCAGTAAGGTGTTTGTATGGTTCAAGTGGTTTGTAAGTGGTTGGTAANGGTTCAAGTGGTTTGTAAGTGGTTGGTAATGTGTCAGTAAGGTGTTTGTATGGTTCAAGTGGTTTGTAAGTGGTTGGTAACGTGTCGGTAAGGTGTTTGTTTGGTTTAAGAAGTTGGTAAGTGGTTTGTAAGTGGTGGTATGTGTTGGTAAGGTGTTGGTAAAATGTTAATGAGTGGTTATTACAGTACATGTACGTGGTTGGTAAAGTGTCAATCAAGGGGTTAGTACATGATTGGTAAATGGTAGGTAAGGTGTTTTTCATACGACATCTATTTAAAATGAAAATATATTACAGCTGTATTTGACATTTACTTACCACTGCTAGATTGAACCATGCCAGTGACAGTTGCGTTAAGGTTGCGTCATCATCGATATCCTAAGAAAATGTTAATTCAATTTTAATTCTTTCACTACTTTTAAAAGATGATGCAACAGAGATGTTTTTACTTTCTTATGGTAAATATCATTACAAGAATTATATCTTAAATCATGCTGCTAGTAGATAAAAAATCCTGAATTACCTGCATTTTCTTAATTTCCTTCCTGGAGAAAAAAAAAGTCACCATATTAACAAATTTGCTACAATTCAAGATTAATGAACAAATGTACAATAATTTAAATATATAAAATTTGGCTTACTATGAACTACCACTACTAATTATCAACGACTAACCAGGGTCCGAAATTAGCGGTTGTCCAGTCGTCAGGGACGACTAAAATTTGCAAATGACTACTAGATTTTGGAATGTGGTTGTCCTTCTGACGACCTATGTTTTTGCCAAGGTGTTTTCTTTTATGAAAAAATAAGACTCCATAAAGTCCGAATATAATTCTAAATTATATTTCTTCTGCCTAAAACCTAGAAAGTTCATTTTTCAACTGATAAACTTTCAAAAATTTGAGATATTAATGCATTCGTTGGAAGCCATTGAATGCCGCTGACAAATATGATTGCATCTTCTGCATTATAGCTAATCGCTGACCATTGTCATTCAGGCTCTACAAGATGGCGTCCAAGTGAGACTCCTAAGTTTTGCTTTGGAGGCCTAAGAATTAGAACATGGTTGTCCAAAGGACCACTTAGCTCTAAAGTTAATTTCAAAAAATTCAAAAAACTGAATAACTAATGGCTATTTTACTATTGGCCAAGGACGTAGTAATGTGGGAGAAACCTCTTTTAAAACGTTCTCTTCTACACTTAAAAAGAGTCCAGTTAAGAATACCAATGATTCAGAAGCAGCCACCATGTTGGTTGATCTAAGGAGAGAAGCTACATTAGGAATATGCCTTATTATCATCAACCAACATGGTGGCTATTTCGTAGCATGCACTCCAACAATTTGCAAACAATTGACTTACTTTGCAAGATCTATTCTGTTCATTGCAATATATATTTGTACAGTCAATGCAGAGCTGAAACAAAGATCGAACCATACTTGCGTTATACACAATACATTTTATTCAGGGGAAATATGCTGTTGTCTTAGGTCCAGTTCAGACGTCGATCTTTTGCCGTGTCGAATTTAATTGGAATTGAAGTTGACAAAGTTTCAAAGGTCCATTTTAAAGTTGTCTGTCGCAATGGACAAAAACCAAAAAACCAAAAACCGCTGAAATCTTGAGTCATTTTAATTCATGCATTAGATTTGACTCGATAAAAGATCGACGTTTGAATCAACGCCGGTCTTTTGCCGTTTCATGCGACTCGAGTAGTCGTCTTTAATTCTTTGCTGACCTCAATTAAATCTGTCGATCTCGATTGATTCAAACGTTGCTCTTCTCATGCACTAAATGTAAATAATTAGATTCGATGCGGCAAAAGATCGACGTCTGAACCGGGCCTTAGCCTTTCAACATTAATAATAAGAATAATAATGGTGGGAATGATGATAATTTATTCTTTTACCATTCAAGGGAGTCTGATTGATGAAGACACCTCAAAGCTGAATCAAAATTCTAGAAAAAATCATATCAAAAAATTAGCTATATACATATATCCCCAGTTTGGAGATATTTCCCTATAAATTTGATTGGGAGAGAGTCCCAATACAAGCTTGTATTGTTGACACAGAATTATATGTTATATATATACTGTATATATACCTATTTCAAAAAGGTTGTCATCGGCAAAGGTGATAGGCAACAGACAATAGGCGAAAAGCGAGATAAAATATGTCATTCCAAGATCCAACAATGGTTGGAATGATTTATATTTCTGATTCAACAAAAGCATTTCCATGTCGGAATGACCTATGTACTATCTGTATGTGCATTCACAAATAGTAGAATTGCCACTATGGCCAATATGGGATATTTTTTCTTCCAACTAGCCATCAATATAAATCTGTACTGGCGGCTTAAAATCGCAAAAACTAAGTTATAATGGTCACAAAGTTTCAGCATTCCCATTTGATCAATAAATGAGTCAAAATTTAGTGTTATCTTGAACATGTACTGTAGGTTGGTGTCATAATATTTTTTAATTGATGTTTGTTCATTCAAAAGTTAAAAGCTTATTAACTATAGATATATGGAAATGGTTAAATGGTAACGCCCTACCTCTTCATGAAGATAGATTGATGCAGCCATCAACAAATAATAGTCATTAATATCACTTGTATTGAGTTGCTTTTCTATGGTATTCAAAATCGAGTCCCTGCAACAAAGTAATATACTGTGAACATCTCTAAAATCTGAATTAGCGTTGTTTACTTGTATCAATACATGAGTGTATGATGATGAAATTTCATGAAATCTATTGGACAATCCAACATAGCAATTGTGACAAAATGTATTGTAGAAATACAATACATGTATTTGTCACATTTAACATCACAATAGCACTGTTTATCAATAGTATGTCCACTAATATTACAAAATCACAAACCTTTTTTTGTGATTTTGAAGGTAATCGGCCAGAATTCTTACTGGTTGAACCTCAGGAGGAGATAACTGAGAAATCTCATCTAAGACAACACCATATTTTCCCTGAAATTGTTTACAAACTATTAATTTAGTAGCGCTAATCATTCATGCACCGGCCATAACTCGGCAGCATCAAGATGAAGAACCTTTCTAGCTTGGGCATAATGTTCTCCCATGTGCCATTCTCTTCACATGTGCCATTCTCCTGAGAATAAGATTCTTTGTTTTAGTTGTATCAGTATTAATGTGTCTTCTTGTGTGCAACTTTTAATAAACAAAAAAATGATACTCTAGGAAATGACACATGTTCTGAAATGGGAAAACATTGTGAAATGTCTATTCTTATAACGACACCAATTAATCTACAACTACATCAAATCCTAATCTTATAAACTATATATATGTAATGTATGAATGAATATGTCTTTTGGTCAAGGATTGAGGCTAGTAATTCACCATTTTCCATACATTGGTTCACTGGTAAAACACGAAGGGCTCAAGCGAGGCGCCAAGGTACTTTCAAAGGATTATTCAAATTTGAACCCTGCAATTTCGACTGAATGCTTTGTGTTCGACAAATGAACCGATGTATGGAAATGGTGAATGTTGAAGGTTTCTCATTTTTGTTCAATATTAAATATTTTTTTATAGTTTCAAGGGGATAGTAGTATTACTGAAAGAGGAAGCTAATTGCTGAAAAATGGTTGAAAAATCATTACTACAGTACCCCCCTCCCATCCAAAGTCCCTCCTCAGATATAGTATGCAGCATGATTCCTTACCTGAGCAGTGTATGCTCTATACATATAGATATCTTTCTCAACAATGAGGTCCCTTGTTGATGGCTATAAGGATTAATAAACAAATATATTAATCAACCTCAAACTTGTATAAAAATATTGATGAAACATGATTCAACTTTTGCAAAACAAAAAACAAAAGCAAAAAATGGCTAAAGTAATATGCAAATAGCTAAAGTAAGGTTGCTATTCCTGGAAACTATATAAAAAAACGTATTTATTAACCTTATTTCTATGGATAATTAATGTAAAGTAAGCTTCATATTTTTTGGCATAATAAAATTTAAACGTAGGAAAGCCGACGAAAAGACCGGCATTCAAGGCCCATTTTAGATCGAAAAAATGCAACAATCCAGACAGAAAATAGCCTATGAATAAGTATTCATATAATTACCTGTTTTCTCTGAGCCTCGGTGATACAAGCTTGATAATTTCCTATGAAAAAATGGTTTTTGATATCAAAGAGTTCATCCACGTCACCAGAAGCCGCCATCTTGGAATCTTTTCCTTAGGTTTGAAGCCCGCAGAGGATACTGGGAAAGTATTCCAGGACTTCTTTTTCCTATTTTCCAAAGGTATCCCAGATTTCTTCAGAAAAACTCCGATCCGAACGAATCTGTACGGGACTGAAAGTTACGGCTTTGAATAAAACAAGGTCAATTGTTTTCAGGGACGGATCCAGGATTTTTTCAAAGGGGGGGTTGTAGCATTGATTGAGGTGGTGGAGAGATATTGCAGACCAAAGGGTTAGGGAGACGATTATTTGCTGCAGGCGAGCATGGTTGTTTCAAGTCCCACACATGGCGTATAGAAAAAAAAGCGAGCGAAATTTGTTCGGCACCCCTGTTTTAATAAAACTCGCGATGCTGTTGGTGTTGTCATGAAAAAAATAATAATAATAAATCACGATGGCGGGGGGGGGGGGGGGGGGGGGGGGTTGCAACCCCAACTGAACCCACCCCTAGATCCGCCACTGGTTTTTCCAGTGAAAGCGAACAAATACTAATTTTCGACACGGTCACGGCACGTCTCTAGGTTAGAACGTGCACTCACTCCTTCTCACCCCTAGAATTTAGGGCGGTTCCATTCCATTCTGGCCCACCATGAAGTGAGCAGTTTGATTCAAAGTTTTTTCTGAGTTTGTCGTTTTCCCCTTCCAGATGCGCAAAACCTAGAATGTGAATTCTAAACTGAATTCTGAACTTCACTGCCTTGACTTAGATCTGCCCAGTCGAAGGCTAGTACCTCATTCACACCAAGGCTTGAACATGTTTTAAAGTGGTTTAACTAAACAGATTTGAAAAACTATGGCTACAAACTCTGCACAATATTTGGTTAATTGATGCATGTAAACTATCCTTTGTCTTGTTCTGATAATATTTTGAAAAGTTTTATTTTATTGTAGGTTTCTAGTTTCTCAATATTTTTCCTAATGAAAACATAGTTTAACTAAACACGTTTAGGTGTGAATGGGGTATAAGTTGTTTAAGCGGTTGATCTGTGAGTTGAGCTGTGCCTTGACTTAGGTAAGCCCAGCTACTAGAAGTTTTTTCAGAGTTTAATCTGTAGTATCGATATAAATTCAGTTGAAATTCAGGTTTCAAATGTCTGAAACAAGTTTTATTTTGATAAAAATAACAGACCATCAAAATTATAATTTCTGGAAAACTTCCTATAATAATCTATAATATTCATTCTTTATAGTACCATGTACACTAGGGCCGGGATTGGAAGAATTACACTAAAGGGCATAGCAGGATCCCGGAATTTGTTAGGGGGTGTGCGAAATTAAAACTAGAATGTATTTAGAGATATTATGCATCGTAAATGTTTCTTTTGCTTGTAAAAAAGCGTATTAGTAATGACGACATTAGGGGGTGTCGGGTGTACCACAGGGCATCCCCCTGGATCCGCCCTTGAAGATACCTCTCCTATCCATCTCTGCACCCCTCCGAATCACTTTGGACTAGATCGTACATATAATTTCTATATCACAAACAAAACTGTTCAACAAATTAAACTAGGACACTATTGTTAGAGAAAAGATTTTTTTTGGTTGTAAGAAAACTTTTGACTTTCAAATTGAAAATATTGCTTAGAAAACACTTTTAAGTGTAAAAAATAGTAAGCATACTTTGACTGTTGTCACTTGTTAGTACACTTTTTTTCACGGGCCAAGTAAAAACACTCTAGTTCAATGACTAGTCCTTTTAGTCTCGTACGCAGCCGCTATTTAATAGTGTTGTCACGCAACGCTTACTCCAGTATAAGAGACTATAATCCTCTCTGCTAGTGTATAAGAGACTAAATGAAACCTACGTTCTAATGGAAAATAGGTTTTTTATCGGGGGAGGGTAATCYCTAAAAGTTTGAATTGTTTTGGAGGGTCAAACTTTTCTTTTTCTTACTGAGTTAAAGGGGGTAGGCTTCAACCGGTAAAAAAAAAAATTTACTGCCAATTCCCAAGCCTCCCCCCTCCCCTCCCTATGATATAGCTAGATGAGTGAATTTGATTTCCAAAACTTTGATAGATTGACTATAATGACTAATAACAGAATCTATAATAAATGATCCTTCCGATAAAGTCTACATTGTCTCATAGGAGTTGGGCCGGTGTATAGAGGTCGTTGTCGCTTTCTTGCAGGTGATGATGGAAATCGCAAACCCAAAACCATCCTGTAAAAAAAAGTTGAAGCAAAATTGTCAAAATTTGTTTATGCATCTCTCCGGCTTGCGCGAGCTAGATACTACAGTAAATAGAGCGGTTTAGGTATCAGTGGAGAAACCACATACTACTCTGACTTACAGACCGTACACGGTAGGACATGATGCCGTGACACTGGAATGGCTTCCCTCCTGAAGAATGGTTCATCGTATACGATACCGACTTAAATGTCTTCCCCCAAGAATGGTTATCGTATACGATACTGACTAAATACAGCCCGTACACGCTTCCCACGGTACGACATGCCGTGACATTAAAATGGCTTCCCTAAAGAATGTTATCGTACACGATACTGACTTACGGCCCGTACACGGTCCGACATGCCGTGACATTGAAATCACTTCCCATAATTTTATGGTTTTCGTACAAGTGGGAAACGTATACGAACGGTACTGATTTGAAGCACGTACACGATACGGCAACCTTCAACATTGTTTTCCCATTAGCTACACATTGGCTTCCAGTAATCCATCAAATCGCACCGCGTAGGTTCGGGTACGGTATTGATACGGTACAGCTACAGTACGGCTACGAATTTGGCGTATTCATACGAAAACCGCTCTATAACTGTCTCATCTATCTCATGTTCAATACGGAATAAATGCTCGCACAGGATGTGAACCCCATATAATATAATGACATGTCATATGTGTGTTTTAAGGCGCAAACGCTCGCATCGAGAAACGGATAAAATTCGCGCGCTTTTGCTCTAACGCAACCCAACTCAGTCTAAAACTCCTTGCGAGAACTTTCAAATTTTCAGATGTTCGTTTGCTTTAGTTTGCTTCTGGTTTGCTCGTAGTTTAATTATTCAAGAAGGAAACTATCGAGGATAATATTGTCAACATACCAGTACTAGATAGGGTAGGTCTTTCCAGAAGTTGTAATTGGGAATCAGATCAGTTCCGCTCTTCTTGCGGCCGGCGTTAATCAAACCACCAATGACACAATATAAGAAAACACTTGGGAAAAATCTGCAAATAAATCAGTYCAATCAGTTCTTATCAAAGTTGTTTTAGTAAAATAATAAGTGCTGTAGGAAAAGCGTCTGGGTAGACGGCACACGTGGTTCTCTTCTCTGAGATCTTGGGTTAATTAGATTTGATTAAGTCAGGGCACTGCTAACTCACAGATCAAACCCTGAAACAACCTCTGGGCTGATCTAAGTCAGGGCATGGCTAACTCATAGATAGAACCCTGAAACAACCTCTGGGCTGATCTAAGTCAGGGCNCATAGATAGAACCCTGAAACAACCTCTGGGCTGATCTAAGTCAGGGCATGGCTAACTCATAGATAGAACCCTGAAACAACCTCTGGGCTGATCTATGTCAGGACATGGCCAACTCACAGATCGAACCTTGGAACAACCTCTGGGCTGACTCTTAGTACGATTTTGTTTTGTGTTGGGAGAAAAACCTTCGAATCAAGGGAGAGATCTAACAAACTCCACTCACATGTGATGGCATGTTCAGAAATCGAGCTCGAGATCGCTGCACGACCCTGCATTCCCACATACAATACCAAGTGTGTTCCGTTTTACTTATGATATGTACTTACAGTATCAGTAGAATTGATCCAGTACTAAGGGTGTGTCCTTTGGTTCCCCTATGATGTGGACATCCCTCAGAGGAATTGAAGGAGAGTTTATACTGCAGTAAAATCAAATATGAGAAGACTCATACATATCTATTCTTCTATTCTCCTGCCCCTACCCCCCAAATCCTTTTGCTATATCCCACTCACAAGGTCAAAACAACAGGCCAAAAAAGGGACYCAATTTTATTGGATTGAGATGGTTGGCGTACTGGTTAATACCCCCTTCCCACAGAGACCTGTTGACATGCTCAATGTCATTGGAATGCACTGAGCTCAATTTAGAGGACATATATGAAAGGTTTCCAATTTTCATGAGATTGAAATTATTTTGCTTTGTCCTCCAAATTCCCGGGGGGGGGGGGGTATACTCCCCTATATTTGCTATACGGGTATGTGCCGCCCTATAGGGTATGGTTTTTTGGCTTTTGGGTCTGGGGTAGGGTATCATTTTTTGACATTTTGTCTGGGATAGAGTATCATTTTAGTCTGGGATAGGGTTAACGATTTGGTCATTTTTGTCCGGCAAATAGGCTACGCTTTCAGCTGGCACAAAAACAATAAAAACGTTAGTAAATATTGATCGCAATCTATTGAAAAACTGTCTTTTCCGTCTTTTAGTCTGGGTTAGGATGTACAATTCTTAGTTTTAGTCTGGGATAGGGTAATGTAAAATCAAAATTTTAGGTCTGGGATAGGGTCAGGGTTTTGAGGTCCTGGCGGCACACCCATACCCAAGTTGAGGTGGTAGTACCCCCCCCCCCCGGGTCCACATTGAGCTGCTTTAAGGTTACATGCAACATAGTATTTCTATACACAAATACATTGTTTAATATATACATGCGAATAGACAGTTCATTTCTTCTTCAATTTGACTTTTAACTTTGGGGATATTTGAGGACAAAATCCAGCACTTAAATACTCCACTGTGGCAGATTCAGGATTTTAAAAGGTGGGGTGGGGATTCCAAAATGGCCACCACACAGAAAAAGCTGATAAGACTGCCTTCAGAAAAATTTCCTTCTACTGAGCCTATGGAACATGATTGGCTTCACAAGATCGCACAAAAAGGGGGGGGGGGGGTGCGATGGAACCCCCAAAACCAACCCTGGATCTGCCACTGCTTCCATTGGTGATAATGGATACCAGTTACTTGCCCTCCACATTTTGAGAAATGATTTATGATTCTTCAAAATTATACTTTGTAATAATGCTTAAATACTCACAATTAATTTTTTTATAAAACTAAATTCTTATATTCAAAAATAATGTAAAATTTAGTAGAAGTAGCTATAACATTTTTGCTATTCTAGCATTTATAGTTATACTAAGAAAACCATGAACACCTAAAATATGTCTGGAATGTTATAAACATCGTGTTCTGACCAATCACGTGGCAGTTAATTAGAAATGAACTCATTCTCACATTGATTGGTCAGAATACCATATTTAATCAAATAATCAATACTAAAGAACCAAATTTCAATATTAGCCCCCCCCCCCAACTACACCAATAAAAGGTCGTGGGTTCGTTTCCCAGCGAGGTCGGAAATTAATTTTTCCAAATTTAATTCCAAGGATCTTTTGCCTGGAATAACCTCGTTCCCAAGCACTATAACTTATCTATATTTCTAGCTATATCTTCAATAAAAATTATGCGCCTGAAATTACATCATTGCTGTTCTATAACCATCACATACCATACACTCCTGTTTATTAAATGAAATGCTCCCAGTTGGCGCTTTTGCACCACCAGCAAACGGCATTTCCTTCTTTGCTGTTGCATTCCATTTTGCATCATCTTTGCAATTCAAAGTTATCAGTGTTTTTAAAGGCTGTTGCTCCCCCTTGCTCGTTTTGCAGCTCATCTTGTCTCCATCATGATATTCAAAGCTTAAAAATTTATTACCTGCAACGATAAACAATACTGATTAGATTTTCCATTGGTGGGCTTCCTATGTCTATAGTACTTTTCTTCCACAGGAAGCCCAGAGAATAGAAAACATGGAATTATAAAAATGCCTGAAGAGGACACTTAGGAAGAAGTAAGGGGTTATCAACATGGTCTGGGGATACCCAGCACTAAGGACAGCTACTGATGGTTATCAAATACTGAATATGGGATGCTAAACAGTGCATTAGTGCAACATTATGCAATGCCGATAACTAAATTTCTAATAATCATCAGCAAATGTGTCCAAAATTTTGAAGGGTCTTGTTGTTTTGGAAAGCCCAGCTGGAGGGTTATCAAATAATTATTTAAAAAAACATATATGGCATATTGGGACTCCCATATAATAAGGAGGATACTGCAGTTTGATTGTTGAAAATAACCCCAAAAATGTATAATGTTGAGTACTGTCTAAATGGGTGTGGCAGCTAATGATTTGACAGCCCTTACTGTAGATCAATCTATGAGGAGTGCTATTAGCAGTTAAGTCAAACGATGAACCAAAAATAAATCATTTCCAGTTGACATTATCTAATCCGTCAACTGGAAATGATTTATTATTAGAAATATTCTGTCAACATAACGGAAAACAATAAAAAAAGCATCTAATTAATTCTTCAGTTTTGTTTCGTTTTTTTTTTTCTGCTGAAGGAGAGCTTCAGCCCCCCTTTGCGCCCCCCCCTGCTAGGCCTGGGGGGGGGGGGGTACTCCGCCAGAATTTGGGTAGAGGTGTTCCGCTGGGATTCTGTAAGGGGTACCCTGTTTAAGACATCAAAGATAATTTATTGCACTGAGTTCCTGTTTCAATTATCATGTCATCTCGCGTATCGTTTTTTTACAACCATAATAACCAGTTTCGGTCAATACAAAAGTAGAAACCATGAATATGACAGGAAGCTCAGGAAGAAGCAGATCATCCCCGTATAGTCCATATATGGGAGTATCCCCCCCCCTGGGTTGCTAAGTAAGGTACCTTTCCCCCCTGAATAATATAAAGAGTACCCAAAACACTGCATGATGATCGAGGACCATGATGGGTGTATATGTGGCAATATGGTTCAACGCGGAGGTTTATGTGACTGTATATTAATTCTAATATAAAATTCCTCATTAAATTGCCTGAATTGCAACCTACTTTTACTATAACCCATGGACCTTTATCACACAGTAGCCAAAAAAAATCCAATGCTACCATAAACTAGTGGCAGAATCTGTTTGCTCAAATGGTAATCAGCATAAAGATATAAATACCTGTGACAAACTTGAACCCTTCATAGTCCATTGACCCAAGACTAACAGGCCATGAGATATATTGGAAACTAGAGTTGATTCCCTTGATCTTGCATGCCCCCTGATCAGGGCACAAGATGGGCAACTCCTTACAAACACTGAATATGATCATACAGCTTGTACTGGAAACATTTGCTTGGAGGCCTTTGGCAGAATTATTAGGATCAGATAGAACTTTGCTGGTTGAGCAATAACTTGGATCTATTTCAAACCACCAGAATTGTGCACTTGAAAAAATATCAGATTTCATGGTCAATTATAGGCCAAGCTGTTGCATCCACCTTTAAAATGTGTCATTTAAATTTATTTTGGAAAAAAGATATTTCAAAAAAGGTTGGTAAAGAGTTTGTTTCATGTAGCATCATAAATTAAGCCTCAATACACTATGGGCAATGTGAATGCATGGTCTTTTGACATTTTTTTTTTCTGTGCTGACAATATTTGCATATTTATCAACCTCAATGCATTGCAAGCTTGGCAGGCAAAAACCACTTTCAAAGACTGTTGCTAATTGGTCTTGGTGGGAGCTACCTTAAGGCAAGCTAACTCATATGACTTTTAGACATTTGGATGGAAAATGAAAATGTCAAACACTGTATTCAACATCATTCATTCAGGGCTGTCAACTCTCCCAGATAAACCGGGAGTCTCCAGATTTTGGACCGTATCTCCTGGTCTCCAGATTAGAGTCTCAATTCTCCCGGATAATCACCGAAGCTGACCATTTCTTGTGAGACTCGACTTTCACAACCATAATTAAAATTCCAGTTATTTTGTGTTGTTTGTGTTATTTTACATCGCTAACAAAATCAAAACGTTCCTCATAAACTGTTCTTGCAAGCAGGCCATTGTAATATAAGCGATAATCTGATTGGTCAGAAATAAACCAATCACATCAAATGTTACAAAGCGAAAGACGTCTTTTCGCGTGCTTTTTGACGCGCTGTGACGTCATTTCCCTTCCCTATCAATTCTCCAGATTTGAATATCTTGGGGGTTGACAGCCCTGTTCATTAATCATATACTGCATGCATGGTTCTATTGTAGTTGCTTTTGAGCTTTAAGTAGAAAGACTTAGGATCATGTAACCATGAGGACCTGAACCACCTCCTGTCCCTGGACCAACACTCAAAGATAACAACCATATTTTATAACATTTGTTTCCAAATTTAGGAAACACTGATATGGTTTTTGTTCACGGATTTATCACACTGATATTAAACCTAAATGTATAATAAATGTTGGTATCAATATATACCTAATTGTTAATACTCTCCTTCACAGTTCCCTGTGCCATGCATCTTGAAAGGTAACCATGCCTTTGCATTGAAGCGAGAAGAACAGTGAGCTTGCAATGGTAGAGMCATGTGAATAATATTGGTGTTAGAAAAAGTCTCTATATCATTGCAAGCTCACCCTTTGTCACACTTTGATGCATAGGCATGCATGGTTACCTTTCAAGATGGTGCAGGGAAGTGTGAAGGGGGAATATTATTGATATTGAAGAAACCTGAGTGAGATATATCAATTTCTATTAATTGTGGATATCAATATACCTCTTCAGCTCTGACGTCATGTTTTCCCATTTCAGACCACATGTCATTCCCTAGAGTATCATTTCTTTGTTTAAGGTTTGCTGCGCTCGGTTGCACATGAGAAGACACATGAATATGGACACAGCTCAAACAAAGAATCTTATTCTCAAGGGAATGACACGTGGTCTGAAATGGGAAAACATTACCCCAAGCCGAAGAGGTCTATTGATAAGCATGCAATTAGTTAATTTATCATCGTCTAAATATTATCAATTTATAATTGACAATTGATAATCATTTTTTATCAATTGACTACGTTTGGCCTTGGCCAATGCTTCAGCGTTACGAAGATCAACTTGTTGGTATCAGTTTAATACAAACATAAAGTTTTTAAAAATATGCAAATTGATACGTTATTATTGATACATGGTATACAATATTCTGCTAAAAAGCAAGTTAGAAAAATGAACTTTCAGAGCACGAAATACTTACGAGGTTAGTGTAGATATTTCATAATCTATTGGTTCACAAACTTGACTGTGGATAACAGGAAACAGAAGAAAAATTGTCATAAGCTGGAAGAAGAACGCCATTTCTGCGAACTACTTCCACTCGGACGGTCATTAATATGCATTTTGTCAAATGATTAGCATATTTTGATTGGAATCAAGTCCCTCACGGTCCTACATGATGATAACAACCAGGGAGGCTGTGGTTCAATATACGATATACTGATCGACACTCTTGTGTTATCAATATATAAAAAAGTTAAAATTTAAAAAATTAACATTAAAATTAATTGAAACGACTGAAATTTTCCTTCGAAAATCACGCGTCCTTTCGAGTGTTGTGACTTGCAAACGTCGCTACCTCGTACTCCTTCACATGCTTCATAGGGACGCCTTCTGTCGATGTAATTTCTAAAAGCTTACTTGGAGTCCTTTTGAGTGTTGTGGTCTGCGCAAAACACGCACTCCTTTACACACTTCAGAGGGACGCTGCTATTTGAAGAGAATTTCTTGAATTAGACTATCTAAAGAAATCCTCTTAAAATATGATATAAAAAAACACAAATTAAATAAAATAGTGTTTGACTACCTTATTACATGAAATTTTCGCGACACGTTTATTTCGCGATTTTGGGAAATTTTCGTATTTTGAATCACTATAATTTCGCGCTTTTAAGTAAGGCACTGTTTTATTTAACTTATCCTTGAATCAAATAGAACGACTTCATCTACAATATCGTCAAAATTAACAAAAGATGCAGCGGCGGGTCTATATGACAACATTAACAACAAAGAAGTTCTCACAATGTCCACAAGAAATTCAAGCTTGTACATGAATTATTGAGTGACTGATTGACCACGATATCCATTAACAAGTCCAGAATACTAAATACAACCTTCGAAATCATGATCATAAACTGTCAATACCTAAGCCACACACTGAATATCTAAAACGATCATTCAGCTATAGTGGGGCAAAATTGTGGAATGACCTACGGTTAAATATAAAAGAGGTCAAGTCAGTACAAAAATTTAAAACGGAAATTGATAGTTTGTACAGTAAGAAAAGTTGTAACTAAGGGCTCCACGGCAAACATGTAAAACAGTAACTAGCTTTTTAATCGTAAATCTTTACTTTTAAATATTTTTAGGCAATCGACTGATGTTTTTACCGTGACAAAATAAAGAAGCTTCCTTCCTAACAAGTCCAGAATAGTGAAAAGTATGATTTTGTAAACGTTTCAGTGGTAATAAACGTATTCTTTCTTGATTATTGACATATTGTGAGGCACTTAATTTTCGCGTCATGTTATGTTCGTGACACTAATTTTCCGCGTCACTTTAATTTCGCGATTTTTCTTAAATCGTGAAATTCGCGAAATTAAGGTGTCGCGAAAATGTCATGTAATAAGGTAGCTAAAGTCTCTCTGAAGCGTTTGAAAGAGTGTGTCCTTTTGAAGCGTAATGTCCTTTTGAGTGTTGTGATCTTCGCAAACCTCGCTACCTCGCACTCCTTCACACACGACGTACTTCAGCGAATTCTATAAATTACACTATCTAAAGAAATCCTGTTAAAATATGATATTAAAAAATCACAAACAAAACAACAGTACTTGACTAGCTAAAGGCGTCCCTCTGAAGCGTGTGAAAGTATGCGTCCTTTTTGGCCCTGCCTAGTAAACGAGGTTTCCTTCAATGTTCCCAAAGGTGGCAAAACTGTCAGGAAACATCGGGAAACATTGTTTCCATGCGTCTTTAAAGCATGAAATGTTTCTGCCGCACAGCAGAAACATTTTTTTGCGTCTTGAAAGCAAAATTTGTTGCACGCATGTGGCTAAATTGGGAAACATCGGGACAACATGCGCGCTGTAAACATGTTTCTGGAAACTTGTTTCCTCGTTTAGCCAGGGCCTTAGAAGCGTTTTTAACATAGTTAATATTAACTCTGGTTTTAAATATCCTTTTGAGTGTTATGATCTTCGCAAAACACGCACTCCTTCACATGCACTTCAGAGGGACGCTGTTATTTGCAGAGAAGTTTCTAAATTAGACTATCTAAAGAAATCCTGTTAAAATATTAAAAAATCCCAAATAAAAGGGAAAAAAAAATTTGACTAGCTAAAGGCGTCCCTCTGAAGCGTGTGAAAGAGTGCGTCTTTTTGTAAAAGAAACACGAAAATAACTAAGCATATTGTCTCGAAAGAACTAAAAATCTATCAAGAGAATATGAATATATATAGGCCACATAAGGGCATATGTGCTGAACTCAAAGATTGAGGATCTAGTATGATTTTAGACATGAATATAGAATTTCATGTACTGTGATTGGTCGAGTTACCAGCGATTATGAAACAATATTCACTGCTTGAGTGGTGATTGTTGGACTTTCCAAAACTTGCCCATGCAGAAGTAACACTAAAACCTTTTTTTTTTAATTTTAAATTTCGTCTTTTCTCTAATGTTCAAATCTAAAAAATATTCTAAAACAATTATCTACCTCAGGCTCTGACAGTGATTATGGTTAATACTTACCTTGCCACTTGAATAAATTGGTGAATAATTGTTTTATAGCTTAGTTACCAAAAACTGTTTATCCCTCCCTCCCCAGCCCCCTCCCCCAGGGACTTTTGACTCGTAACCAATCTTCCTTGGCCAATCAACATGGACAGACAGACGGATAGTGACCAAGGGAGATAGAGGGACTTATACCCCATTCACACCAAGGCTTAAACATGTTTAAAGTGGTTTAACTAAACAGGTTTGGAAAACTATCTACGAACACTGCACAATATTTGGTGAAATAATGCATGTAAACTATCCTTTGTCTTGCTGTGACAATATTTTAGAAAGTTTCATTATATTGTAGGTTTCTAGTTTCTCAATTTTTTTCCTAATGAAAACATAGTTTAACTAAACATGTTTAGGTGTGAATGGGGTATTAGATTGCAGTCTAAAAACTGTACTGTTTGTTGGGTTAATGGGTTAACCTTTTAGTATCAGGGTAGGAGATGTAAAAACCTAGGGGTCTGCTGCGGATACGTTCTTGTAATTGGTTCCAGCACTATTCATTATTAACAGATAACCTAAAAGCATTAAATTCTTCCAGACTACTTAAAGCCACTTTATCGGCAAAGTATTTATCTGTTTGGGTAACTATGACGCCAAGACCATAATCATCAACAATCATATCCTCTTTTAGCCGACCAACTTTCAGCAAAAATTGATGTCTTTCCTTGATCCTCTTAAGAGAACATTGAAACACCCTAGGGCATCTTGCAATACTTGAGCGGCTTGCATTTAACTCGTCATAACAGTATGCAAACTTAGATTTCATGGAATCAGTACCAAAAGTCAGAACTGTTGGTTGTTTGAGGATGATGTTGTGAAGTTGATGTTGGTTGAATTTTAAGACTTTTTCCAGGAAATGGATTTTGTTTTGGATTGAATCCAAGCTGCATGTTGCAATGATGTCTGGACACTTGGTTAACATGTGTAGGACTTCTTCTTTTGTTAGTTTGGGTTTTACTTTTAGATCAAGTAAATATTTAACCTGTTAAAAAGGAAAGAAGTTTGAAACATCAATTACCGTAATGCACAAGTCTCATATTATTTATTTATTTATTTATTCATTTATTTATTTCATGATTCGCCCAAGGGTGGGTGATAATACAATAGGACTCTAGGTCCCCTATATAATATTAACACACAATTTGATGCATACCGCTGTTTTTGAAGACTACAGACTCATTTGCACAGGCATAGCCTTGTTTATATGTCAGCTATTCACAGATACCATTAAAAGTCCGAGGGATTTCAAAACATTGGTATTGTTCAAGCTGCACATTCTTTACATTAAAGTTGACATTTGCAAATGATTTACCCTTAAGCGAGGCTAAGCCTGCGAAGATGAGTCTTCAGTCTTAAAACACAGCTGTATTTACGGAGTGAAAAAAGGAACTATTCATTACAGTAAACTTTATTTAAAGAGGATGACTTAATAACAAGGTGATTTATTTAACTGATACCTCACTCATAAATCAATATTCTGTAAACTCTGCAGTTGCAATTTGCTAGTTGCAATTTAGTTTTTCACTACTGCTAGTCAAAATATTATAACAGGGACCCAATGATTAGTTTTGATTGACAGCTGTGAAAAACCAATTTCACAACAAGCCGTTGAAATTTGGCCGTTGGGTTTGGAGATCATTGAGAAGTACAGTACTTAACCATTTGGGTAGCATTAGGGGCAAGGTTCAAGGTGGTGGGTATAGGTACATACTCCCTCCCCCCTCAGAGACCTGTTCAAATGCTCGATACTGGGGGTCTGTAGTGGCAATTTCTATGTGTTTTTTAGCATACATGGAGACAGACAGTCCATTCATTTCTGTGATTTGGCTTTTAGTTTTGGAGATATTTGGGGACAAAATCTAAGATTTCACTTCCAGAGGTGGTAGGTACCAGGTAACACCACACCTCCCCCCTAAATCTAAATGGTTGGAGTATCCACACAGCAAGGTGTTCTTGTTGCTGCAAGGGAGCACGGCAGACATAAATTTGTTGATTGGTCTTCCTGTGGTAATGATATATGCTGACGAATACGGTTATCCACGAAAAATAGCGTGGGCTTAAGTAAATATCAAAGATGGCAGCGTACATAATATTGTTTAAGTATGTACCACAGGAAGACCAATCAACAAATTTATGTCTGCCGTGCTCCCTTGGTTGCTGTGATTTATGTTTCTTAGGCAAATCCTTTGAGTTTCATATAGTTTAAAGTTCAAGCTCACCACCCTGCAAGAACCTATAGCATGAAGCTCTTATGAAGTGCATATATAGCGGTGGCACACTCACCTCTGGGAACCTGGGTGCAATTTCTTAACTAGCCATAAAGAAAAGGGAAATTGAATTTTTCCTCTGCAACCAACTTTTTTTCACAAAAAGATTTTCTACCCAAAGGTCTACTAGACCTAATTGTTTAAAGTGGAAGTTATTTCATTGAGAACTTTTTTTGACTTTAACTTGAGAGTTTTTGTGAGTAGTTGGACAGGAAATAAGTCACAACCAAAAGCTTTAACAAATAGCCATAGCAGAAAAAATGGAAAAAGAGAAAAGAAGGGAAATTGAATATTTTACCTTAGAAAAAATTGTATTTTCAGTCTTTGCTGTTAAAATCCCTGGGGATTTCTTGACTGCATACACTAGTGCATTAGGCTGAATACCAGCTTTCTTTAACGCTTCAACACGAGCTTGTAAATCTTCAGTTCTAGCTACAAGCACTGATGGTCTTCTTGTAAGCAGTTTCCCAACGTCTTCAGCACTCAGACCTAATCCTTCAAGAAACTTGATCTTTTCTTTGACTCTTTCCAAAGATAATCGTGTAATATCCATCTGGTTTTGTACTTTTTTAATAGGTACATTAAAATCAGATAATATTTTTTCCACTGAAATGTTTCTTTTCTCATAAAAGTCTGTCTCAGTTTCAGAAACATTTTTAACATGTTTTACGAATTTTGAGTCAATATTTGTAGAATTACCGATTAAACTTGAAGAAAAACGAGCAGGGTAACTTCCTGAATGCCTAACGACATTGCAAGTGTTTTTCTGTAACGTTTTAAAGATTGTTTTAGAGAAGGAATGAGAGCAAAGTTTCAGAGTTCTGATCACGACTTCTCTTGCTACCGCCATCTTGGAAAACTTTGGTAACACAGGAAGCCCACTCTGTTATGAAAAGGAAACCTTTTACTGGGGGAGGGGTGGAGAGACGATTGGAGAAAGAATTGATCAAAAGAAATTTAGTGATTCACTCACATTTGTTGATAAACAAAGGGGATATGATATTTTGGTATTAGTTCAGTGAAATTTTTTTGAAAGTCATAGATGAAAGCTGAAGGGTGAAGGGGGAGGGAGGGGGGAAAGTGGGGTGCTAGAAACAAATTCTTAGCCACCCCCTCCCCTCTTATGCCAATTTAAAGGGATGGAACCGAACGAACCACCCTCCCCAATTTATGTAACTTTGTACTCCCTCCCCCCCC